GTTATATAATAGTATAATGCAACCACACATCTAAAAAACCATATTTTTGGAATTTGTATGACCCTAAATTTTACACACATTCTCTTCATCCTCATCATCAATCCTACGAAAAAAACAATTTCAATTTGCACCCTAAATATAATCAAAATTAGTACCCATCCAAGAATATCGACCATCCATTTGGTGAATTTCAAGATCTAAACCTTAACAAATTCAAAATCACTTTTTTACTTTTTTAGCATTATCAAATCTAATGATGATAACACTATCTAGAAATTTTAGAAATAAAAAAATCCTTTCAAAGCCTATATCTAATCATCTCAATAAAATAGACGGCTTATATTAATTGGGCTAGAATGAAAACTTTCTAGAGGATTTTTTTCAAAATTTTCTCTTTTGTGATTGATCTTAAGAATGAAAAGAGTGCACATTTAAAACTCCTGTGTCAAACAAATGTCTTTCACATGATCTTTAAATATGGTTGTATTATACTATTATACAATCGTTATCGTTGCATGAAATCATTCCCCTAATGTACTATAATATATAATATAATGTATTTTATATTTATTTTATTAATATATATTTTTATTATATATAATATGTAATATAATAAATTATTTTATTAATATTTATTTATAGTATATAGTATATATAAAATAATATAAATATAAAGCGTAAAGCACAATAAAGTTTGAGGAACTAAGTTCCTATTTTAAGTTCCATCATTTTAGATGCAAAAAACAAGAGAACAAAGAAGTTCCAGGGGAACTTCTTTACTATATAAGTTATGTACATCAAACACAGTAACCCATAAAGTAATAGGGAAGTTCCTTCTTCCTCCCCTAACTTCTTGTTATCAAATGCAACCTAAGGGAATGGTGAATAGGGAGAACTTGCGTTGCAACTTTTTTTAATTTTTACTATTCCCAAACTAAGTGAAAACTACAGTAACAGGGAAAGTCACGGACTTTCACTGCTTTCTCAAACACCCCCCAGAGAGAGAGAGAGAGAGAGAATTTAGAGGCAGAGGTTTCCTAGATGCTCTATATTGCTCTTGTTCAATCCTAAGCAACGTTGGTTCTCAAATCCCATGAGATAGAGAGGTATCCTACTGCCCAATATTGTCCTTACTCAATCCTAGAGAGAGAGAGAGAGAGAGAGAGAAAGAGAGAGGAGAGGTATCCCAATGGCCAATATTGTTCTCATTCAATCTTAAGCAACTTGGAGTTCAAATCCCACAAGTGAGAGAGATGTAAAAGGAACTGAAACCACATTTTCTAAAGACCTGGTGGCTTTAGAAATGGGATAGGTTTGAAAATAGCGTCAACATCAATAGGAAACCTCAGAATTTGGCCCACTAAAGGAGGGGAGGCACTTGTTGTCTTCCATGTGTCATACCATGGTCCTCCTCCTGTTTCAAGAGCTGCCATATCACTTGTAACATCAAGAATAAGCTGCAAATAATTGAAGATTCAGTCAGGACAGCATATTTTTCTCTTTTTATTCCTATCTACTTTACTTCCTTTTCTTTTTCTAAAGGGAAACTATGCCATACACCAGTGGTGTATGGTGTATATAGTATATAATAGGGGCATCCATTGCCCTTTCCCGGGCAGAGGTAGAGATAAAACTGCACCAAGGTGAATACCCCCATGGGTATGACCATGGCCTATAACCGATAAATGTCGAAAACGACGGTTGTGCTCCTTTGGTCTACCATATACCAGACAGCATTGTCGGATGGGATACTCCCCTTTTCTTCAAGGATCAGGAAATCAACATCATGTAATATCTAATATCTTTTTTTTCTTCTAAGTAAAAGGGACTCATTAATTGAACATTTGTACAATCAGGCAGAAAATAAAATCAGGACATTAGAATCGGTTTACAAGGCAAAAGCAGTAAACAGAAATGAACAGGAACCATGTAGTAGCAATCAGAGAATAATTTTATTCCTACATCTTGCAACCCATTTTTATCCCTCGAAAGAAACAGCAGCAATCCATTTAAACAGTTTTTTCTTTTGATAGAAAAAAAATATGAAATAACAATATATCATCAATACGAAGACGACATTGCAAAAGAAAAAGGAAACCCATAAAAAAGCTATACAATTGGATAACATAGTAGTTTCATAAATTACATAGTAGTATCAAATGATAACTTGGTTGATTTAAAAGGCAAACAAATAAATAAATAAATAAAAGAGGTTGTTGAAATTACTGCAAGAAAACTTGGGAACATGCTATGAAAAGAAAAAAAACTTTCATGAACCTCCACTATATCTCATGAGCAGTAATAGGCAAAGCTTTAATCTCATTCTAGACAACAAAGATTACATGCATTGAATATGCAGATTGCATAGTATGCCAGGACTACTCTTCGACCAGAAAATTACAAAAGAATATAATCTTCTTTCATCATTTAATGGCATACAATGGTAAATAGCATTTTCTAACTTTATGTGCTGGAAAGAATTGAAAAAACGTATTTATCAGAAGGGTAAGATGCGCACCTTGCCCTCAGTGCCATCATATCGTCTTTCCCAGAGCCGTAACTTGAGGTCGCCTGAGCATGTATCTCTGCAATATGGGATGAGACCTCCCTCTATTGTTGGGGCCCTCAGAACAGTTCCATCTGATTTTGTTGTCGCCTCTAATTCGACCTACAAAAAGACTGGATTATCAGAGAGAGAGAGTTTGTTGTCGCCTCTAATTCGACCTACAAAAAGACTGGATTATCAGAGAGAGAGAGAGAGAGAGAGAGAGAGAGAGAGAGAGAGAGAGAGAGAGAGAGAGAGAGAGAGAGAGAGAGAGGAGGAGGAGGAGGAGGAGGAGGAGGAGGAGGGAGGAGGAGGAGGAGGAGGAGGAGGAGGAGGAGAGGAGGAGGAGGAGAGAGAGAGGAGAGAGAGACGTAGACGTAG